TTTTCATTTGTTCCTTAGTTGGTGAGTATTTAGATTGTTCCCAAGATTTAGCTATTGCAAATTGTGCTGCTATAAACATGGGTGCACATATATTGTTGTGAGATGATATTTTTTTTCAAGGAACTGATTTTAAAATTTGATTTCATTTTTATTAATGAGGGACAAGCGGCTACCATATTGGATAGCATAGGACAAATCTACCCTGGCCAAGCCATATGGATTCACACAAGTCATTTAATCCTTCACACCCTCAATTTTACCCCAAACAAAACAAAACCAACAAACCAATCAAGCAACCAGGGGATAACAGTGTTGTTGGTGAGAATGGGATTGGGTGGTAAATTTTAAAATAGTTTGTAAACTGAATAGGAGTGTGTTTTATAGTCACGTTACTACTACTATTGCTACTTCTATGTAAGAGAGTGGTGGGAAGAAAGAGGGAATTGGAATCTAGCAAACTGAAGTCAGTTTCTGTTTTAATTCTTCTGGGAGAATGCCCAGAAGGAAAATGCCCGGGTCAAATGGGACATCTTATCCTAGCTTTGTAAGGAATCCCCACACTGATTTCCACAGTGCCCGGGCCAGTCTGCACTCCCTCCAACAGTGGAGAAGGGTTCTTTTTTTCCCCATAGTCCTGTCAGCATTTGTTATCTGTTGATTTTTTGATGACAGCCATTCTTTCTGGAGTGACATGGAATTTCATTGTTGTTTTAATTTGCATCTCTTGAATGATCAGTGATAAAGATTTTTCCAGTTGTTTGTTCTCCATTTGTGTTTCTTTGTCTGAGAAATGTGCTTTCATCTCAGATGCTCCTTTAAGGAGTGGGTCTTTGAATTTGGGAGATTTGATTTTTAAAAGTTCTTTATATGTTCTAGATTTAGGTCATATGTTCTATTTCTTTATCTGTGCAAAGACTCTGTATAATTTCTCTCCACTCTGTGGGTTATCTTTTCTCTTCTTCCTGATTTTTGTTATGCAAATGTGTTTATTAAGTTATGATCCCATTTATTGATTCTTGTAGTATTTCCCGTACAGTCTGCCTCTTGTTCACGATCCTTTGCCAACACCTATGGCTTTGAGATTTCTGCCTACTTTCTCTTCCAGTAAATTTAATGTTTCTATTTTAATATTTACATTTCTGACCATTTTGACTTTACTTTAGTGCATGGTTATAAACAGGGACCTAGCTTTAATCTCTGACATGTGGAAAGCCCATTTTTCCAGCACCATTATTAAAGAAGCTGTCTTTCTTCCAGTGAACATGTTTTGCTCCTTTGTCAAAGATGAGGTGGCTGAGTGTGTTTGTAGTTGTGTCTGCATCTTTTATTCTGTTCTGCTTTTCCACAGGTCTTTTCTGTTTGTTTGTTTTGGTTTTGGTTTGGTTTTGGTTTTTTCCAGTACTCTACTGATTTTATCATGGAGCGTGGTGGTATAATTACAGGCTTTAGATTGTGATGTCCGTGACTTCTTTTGTTGCCCAAAACTGCTTT